GTGAGTGAGTGTGTGTGTATGTATGTGTGTGGTCACAAGTCTTTATCAAGTTTATGCTGTTTCCTTATCATATTTTTACAGAAATTTATAAATAATAAAGCATCTGGTATATGTCAGATGTGAGGCCTCTTATCTCTCATCATTGTAACACTTGGCTACTTGCATTAGGTATAGATTGCAAATGTTTGGATGCTTCTTTAAGGAATGACTTAAGAGTTGGCTCTGGTGGAAACTGGACCTCCATGCCCTTTGCTGAGGATAGAGCTACAGAGACTAATCCTAGGAATCCCGAGGCACTTTCCACAGATGCTCACACAGAGCTTAACTTCATGGGAATCCATTTAATATCTTGTAAAGAGTGTGGTCGGTGGGATAGATAGATATAGTTCCAGATCCTGATTTTTTTCATTGCTTAACTTCATGATCCTGGAGAAATTATTAACTTCTATTAACCTTAAATGCACTCATCTGTAAAGTGAATTTAATAAAGTCTACCTAGTAGTGTTGCCTGGCCAAATTATGTGGACTTAACATATGAAATGAGAGACACAAAGTGCAAAGCAGTTAGTAGAAATTAAAACCCTATTATGCTGTTGTTATAAATAAAATTGCTTAACAATTTTGAGTACAATTATTTCTGAAGTATCCAAATGGAATTACCAGTAGGCAACATCAGCAGGCAAGAATACATTATGATGAGATAGGTCCTTAATAATAATTTGATCCAACTTCTTTATTTAATACATCAAGAACATTAGGATACGTCCATAACCTTCACAAGGACACCAGCCAGACAGTGTCAGAGCGCTGATGAATGAAGACAGCTTCCCTTCTGCATTAAAAATGCCATTATTGGCTCCAAACCAGTACATTGAAGATTCAATATAAAGTCCAACTGAGCGAGTGGCTATTCTGGTCTTTCAGGTAACTAGACCCTCCCCCTGCCTTCTTATATGACAAGGATAATTAGCTCATGTATAAAAGCCATATTTCAACAGATTTCTGCCATATAAGCTAAGAGGTTTTGATCACATTCTAAAGGTTTTTAGAAGTATTTCAAACAATATATCACATTATTTTGTTTTGTAACAAACAGCCACTGAAAAAGAAAGCAATGTTATAAAGGGAAACTGGATCCCACTACAGAAAAAAAGGGCAAAGTGAAGAAGGAAAAATGAAAACTTGCAATTTAGAGAACATTCATTCACTCGCTTGAGAATAAAGGAGGGGGGGGGGCATATTCCAATGGATATAAATTGTCTCATAATTCTGTGCCCTTGTGTGAAAATTGCTAGTCTAGTATTTCCTTTAAAATTTCCAATAGTGTAAACAGGAATCTGGTTTGAAGATAGAGGCTATGTGAATAGAAAGGAAAGAGAATTCAAATGGATGGTCAAAAGTAAGCCCATTCAACCATGGGAAAATCTTTAGGACTCTTCTAAATGAGCACTATATACTTCTTTCACTTTTGCTGACTATAATACCACAAAAAGTATACTGCAAACACTTTCCTGATGAGAGAAATCAACTTAACCTTTGCTTGTCTGTAATATTACCTATTGATGGGGCCGGTGCATCAATATCAGATGACTGAAGCTACAATGCATCCTTTATTTGAAGGTCTCTATGAACATGATTGGCATCCTTGTATATTTTAGATGAAGTTCTATGATGGAGGGCTAGGATAAAGAGTTTCGTGTGTCTCTTCCAAGGTTATTATCTGTGTTAACCTAATATGTAACAACAAACAGATAAGATACTTACTGATGAAAATTAAGGGTCTTTATAATCACATAACATCTGAGTATTGTTAAAAAAAAATAAGTGAATAGTGACACTGCTATCCCATGCACTTATCTTATCTTCAGAATTCAAGTTCTCCCATCATAATGTTCTTTCAACATATCTAATATTTGAAGAATATCCTCAGTAAAATATTAAGCAGCTGATCTGTATAGGATACACATCTCAATTACTATTTTATACCCAAGCATGTGAGCACAGGAAGGTTGCATAACCTGATGGGCATTTGACATCTTAGCTGTGGCATAACTAGGGCTAGAACTCCATGGTGTTTCAAAATCATGGTTTCACTTTAATTAACTATTAGGTTACATTGTTTTTGTGTCTGTGTCAAATGAGTTGATTTTATATGTAAAAAGGTTTTTCATTTGACACTGGCCTATCATATCTACATATGAAATTAACTAATCCCCTCAGGGTAAATCCAAAGAATGTGCTGTAGTTATTTAATATCCTGAAAATCTGGAATGGGGGAATTTTCAGAGTTTTTATTACTGGTTGATAATTATATTCTCTGCACAAATTCATAATATCTGTACTGTAGTGGCCTTCTAACCCAACTTTATTTAAATTTTATTTAATTAGAAGTGTATAAAATATATAATTGGGCAAGCATTCATTTTCCCCCTGCAGATAAGTGCCCAAATTTGTTAAGATTATGAGAAAAGTACACACACACACACACACACACACAACAATAGCAACAACAATAAATTATTATTAGAGAATGGAAACAAAAGTTGATTTTACTTGAACAAAGTTCACAAGCACACAGACACCATGAAGCACTTTGGATAATTAATCCATTTTCAAGGCTACTGTCACAAATGACATGAAATATTATTTCAAAATATAGAAGGAATTGAAAAAAAGAATTTATTAAAATAATTTATATACTTGTACAAATGGACTGTTGTTCAGCATATGCATGTGAGTGTTAACTGGTTGGAATGGCTAGAAAATGAAAGCCCTGTATTTGATGGGTGAAGAGCAGGACGGTCGAGGTCTGGGAGAACTGTAGAGAGCTCTTTTCTATGTTTCCTCAGAGGTTCTGCATCACAAATCTGAAGCCAACCAAGAGGTACTGAGTTCAGAAGTAATTTTCTGCTGCTAGACTATCGGTCACTTAATCCATTTTGTTCAGCATAACAAAGACATTCATCATTATTTTTTAAGAACACTGACCCTAAAGTATTTAGCAAGCAGGGTGCATTCAATTGAAGTGTTGATTGGAAATAAGGAAATTAAACTGTCAGTGATGAAATATTAAAGCTCATTATCACAAAGTTTTATTTTAAATTTCAGAATAAGCTTTATTGCTGCATTAGTAATGATAATGATGGGCCTTAAATTAATACCATAATACTTTTATAATTGTTATTATAACATATTAACCATCATTCAATTAATTTACAGAAAATGCCATTCAAGGATTTATATTTTTCCTTCCTCTTAAGAAAACGGACTATGTAATAAAGCCCAAATCACATTCCTATAGAGTACGTTCTACCTGTTTCACCACTACTGCTCACTCCATCTTTGTGTGTCTTTAGAATATTCACTATTTTCAGAGGTGAATGTGCCCAAGGAAAACGTATTTCTCGGCGGCACCTTTACATTGTCGGGACAATACTGACCTCTAGTGTTCCCGGAGGTAGAGAGATAGCTCAGCACCATGCCTAACTTCCTCTTACTAAAGGATTTAGATGTTTCTCTAAAGCATCATGGGAACAATTCCACTTAAAAGGAGGAAAAGAAGGAGAACCAGGGGTAGGTGGAGGAGGAGGAGGAGGAGGAGGAGGAGGAGGAGGAGGAGGAGAATAAAAATTAGATTATAGCCTGTCCTTACCTGTTCTCTGAAACAATTTCTAATCTAAAGCCCATAGGACCTCCCTTTTAGAGAGGATGACCTCGTCAGCATTACTTTAGAATTCAAACTTTAATAAAGCCTTTAGAAAGCATTACCACTAGCTATAGATTCTGAATGTCTACAATTTCCAAAGACAGATAAAAACACTGGCTCCGCTTTGGAGAGTTTTCAGTAAATAACAATTGTCGAAGTCTCTTCCCTTGAGTGTCTCACTCAAGGCCTTCTCAGACCTAAGAAGGTGGGAGTGAAGAAGAGGGACTCATGGTATGGCGTTGTCTTACTTTCAGAAATGGTTCCGATTACAAGCAATAGTATTAGAACGTATGAGTAAACGTGTCTGAGGTTCCAGTGGGGTTAGCAGATAGAGAAGCAAGCCCAGAAAATTGAAGAACCTTGGTGAACCATCGTTGGAAAAACACAGATGGCTTAATGGCATTCGTTCTCATTTAGGAGTTTCCAGAGCTGGAAAACTTCCCCTTCTCTGCCTAGAGAGGCAGCTGAGCAATTGAGCTGAAACCTCTGATGGTTCTAGAGATGTATTCAACTTTGACAAACTGAGTTCTTTAAATACACAGTGCAGGTGGCGGATCCCCAGGTGTCCAGCCTTCCTGCCTATTAAATTAAGTGCTCGGCACTTGCGGAGGTTAGAGCCTGGAGAACAGCGTGTACCTTCAGTGCGCACTCCTGGTGTGTCCTTTGGCACAAGGATTGGGGTGGGGTGTGCATCAGAGGGCTTCCTCTGAAACAGGGCCAGCCATTGATCTTGTGGTTTGACTACACCGGGCCATGACTCTTAGGCCAAACTCCCTGTCCTCGTAAACCGATGTCCATTGGTTGCAAGACACCTCAACCGGCGCCTTCTGCCTAGCAGAGAGCTGAGAGCCAGGTCTTGGGGGGCACCAGGCACCCTGCAAGCCCTGGGCAGCCGCATTCGCAGAGGAAGCTGCGGCCACCAGGCGCGGTGGCTGGGAGACTCTCTATCCCCGAGCTCAGCCCGGCGGCGCAGACAACCTGAACCCGGGCCTTCCCGGGAGCAGCCCTGGCGGCGACGACCCGACCGACCGGGGCTGGAACGCGGGGCCAGCGGGCGGTGAGGGCAGAGACCCCTCCCTTCTCCCTGAACTTTGCGGTTGGGGAGAGGGCAGAAAATCCAGGGGGCCGGGTCGTTCGAGCTCCGCTAACTTTTGGGATGGGAAGAGTGATGGAACCACACTAACCAGCATTTCCTCTCCCCTCTGCTCAGAGCAGACACAGTTGAGCACGCTGGTCTGTCCAAATGGTAGCGCTTCCCATCTCCCCACCACCCCGGGCTCGGAGGGACACTTACAATTTGTCGCTGTTAATCCCGGACGCCACAAGCCGGAGAAGAGCAAAGTGAAAATGCTCAGCAGCAGGGGTCCAGAATCCATGGCCCCGGCGAAGCGCTCTCTTCCAGCGGAACCCCGAATTCGCCAGCGCCTCCTTCCCGTGCGCTTCTCTCCGCACCGTGACCCCTTCCCACCCACCCCCTCGGAGAGGCACCGCGGCTTCAGTCCATCCCACGCCCGGACGCTCGACCCAACCCGGAGCCGGTCTTCCCGGCGCTGAGGCTGGCGCTACAGTCCCCGCGACTGCCGCTGGCGGATCCCGCCGGCCTGGCCGCCGATCCTCCTCGCCTGCCCGGGAAGCAGCGCCAAACCCGGCTGCAACCACAGGCGCCCGCTCGCTGGATCGGAGCTGCAATCAGCACCCGCCGCCGGACAGCTCCTTATAGGCGCGCCGGCTGCGCGGCGCCGCCCCCGCCCGGCCCGCCCCTCTCCGCGCTCGCCCGGCTGGGCGCGTCTGCGGGCCCGCTCCTGCCTCTCCGCGCTCCCCGCGCTCGGTGCCCGGGCGGCAGGGGCTGGGGCCGAGGGAGGATGGGGGCGCCGCGGAGCGTTCGTGCCAGGGGGCGGCGGCGGGGGCCGCGGGGGGGAATCGGGGGGCGCCGCGGAGCGCTCCGTGCCGGGGCGGCGGGGGGATCCGGGGGTGCTGCCGAGCGCTCAATGCCGGGGGTAGCGGGGGCGGGGGCGGGGAGGGATGGGAGGACGTTGCCGAGCGCTCGCTGCCGCCGGCGGCGGCCGCAGTAGGGGACTGGAAGGGTTAGGGAAGTGGAAGGGAACCTCTGTCTCCCCGCCCCCCAAATGCGGGGCTGAGTGCAGGCGCTGAGCTGTAAACCGGGTTTTGGGAGAAGGCTGCTGAAGGGATACTGAAAGGAATGGGAAGACAAACGCATTAACAAGAAGTAAAATCCTGTGGACAGATTTGCGAAGAACTGAGGGGAGGGCGGGGGCGGGGGCCTGCGGAAGCGACACTATCCCTGCGTGTCTCCCTGCTGGGGGAGGCGGACGGCGCTGCGAGGTCTGACTACGGGGTTAACACCGTCCGTGCCCGCGCGCCCTCCCTCCGGCGCCCCTGGCTGCGGGCTCGGGGTCCGGCAGGTGCTGCGTGGCGCGCCGAGCTTTGGGGTCCGGAGCCCGGTGGTTCGCTGGCGCCCGAGAGGCGGAGGAGCAATTGGGTCTGTTAAGGGTGAGAGGAGGCTGGGTCCCGATTGGCTCATAAGATTTCACAGCTGAGGGCTCCGCGGGAGGGATTAAAGTTCCAAAAGGGGGGACATAGTTTCGGTTTCTTCCTACAGGCTCCCTGGAGGGTCTGTCTTTGGCTTCTAGTTTACATCTGGTGACTCTCCTGCTTTATCATAAATCAACTTATTTTGCTTTTATTGGAAGCTGCCAGCCGTCAAAAGCTAACAAAATGAGGGACCGCAGTGATTTCTCCTGTGTGGAGATTGCAATCTAGTTGGGGTAGAAACACTTCAGAGGAAGATGCGGTTCCCCGCCCCCAACCCCCCCCCCACCCCCCCCACCCCCCCCCCACCCCCCCCACCCCCCCCATTCAGGCAGCAGCAGAAGTGCAGGCGCATTTGCTGGAGCAATGGCTGAGCCTGGTCCTCAGCTGCGGGAAGCAGGCCAGGCCAGGCCGCTGGGTCTCAGGCCCTGCTACAGGGCCCCCAGGTTAGCCTGTGGTTTGATTACAGCTGGACTCACCTCCTGGAATAGTAAAGGTAGCTGAATGACGATTGAATTAGCGAGACTTTATTTTATTGGAGAAAGATTCCGAGGGTCCTCCAACGGATTAAGTGAATGGCCCTCTTATCTCTAAGTTTCTAAAGGAGAGTAATTATGTTAGTTACTAGATTCTAAAGCAGCGGTTCTCAACCTGTGGGTCGCGACCCCTTTGGGGGTCGAACAACCCTTTCACAGTGGTCACCTAAGACCATCGGAAAACACATATATAATTACATATTGTTTTTGTGATTAATCACTGTGCTTTAATTATGTTCAATTTGTAGCAATGAAGATACATCCTGCATATCAGATATTTACATCACGATTCATAACAGTAGCAAAATTACAGTTATGAAGTAGCAACAACAATAATTTTATGGTTGGGGATCACCACAACATGAGGAACTGTATTAAAGGATTGCGGCGTTAGGAAGGTTGAGAACCACTGCTCTAGAGCAAGGGGAAGACTTCCCCAGGACAAGCTTCAGTTGTGGGAGAAAGGCCATGCTCTGGGGTTGTGACTCACCAGACTTGGAAGCTGAGGTGGTGCAAGAACTGTCCTGTTGGCAGGGCCTGGAGGAGGAGCGGGATTCAAAGGCCAGCTCTAGGGCTTTCTTCTCTTACGGAGGGCCGCCAGGGCTGCTACCCTAACCCCCGCCTTTGAGGATCCCAGGATTAAAAACAAGTATATGGCCAGTTGAATCATATTAGAGAATATAGAAGAAAAAATGAACCATTATCTTGCTTTATATGTTCTTTAACACTTACACATTTCAAAAGAAAAATATATATCAAGTGTAATTTGCATTCTTGACTGATCCCATTGATTTCTCATCATAACTAGAAGTAAACTTTTTAAAATTCCTATAGATCATGTTTTTATAACTTTACCATACATATTTACATTCCTAAGAAATTTATAGTATTGTTTTGATTGCCTTTAACCAATATATAAATGGCATATTTCATTTTGCAACTTGCAATTTACTCAACATTATATTTTTGAAGTTTATACATTTGGATACGTGTAGTCTGAATTCTTTCATTTTAACTGCTGTATTATGTTTCATTTTATGTGTACACCACAACATATTGATTAATTATTCTTTTTAATCTACAGATTAACTCTGATTTTTTATCAGCACAAACTATACAATCTTGTACCTATCTCTTGGATTTTCTCACATATGTACTTGGGAGTAAATGCTTTGATCATAGGAAATACCTTCAGTGTCGGCAGGTAGTGACGGTTTCTCTATGGAATGGTGGCAGCAGCTCATTCCCCTCTGCCACCAGCAGCCTGCGATGCCCCCTTGCTTCACATGCTTCCCACACGCAGGTCCTCTCTGAGGACAAATGGGAGCATCAGACCCAGAGAACACATGCTGCTGCCCCACTCTATCAACCGCTTTCCACACCTCTCACAATCGTATAGTTAGATAAACTAACAAATTACGGACCATGTCTTTGTTTTCTGGCAGAATAACTTAAAATGAATCTGTGTCGATGAAATGTGCTTGGATTATATATTAGAATGCAAAGAGAAATTTGTTTCATGAAGCTCCCAAACCGTGAAAGATCTTCATATTATTAGTAAATATTGGAACTCTGCATTTAGAGATGTCCATGTGCAGGCCTAGTGAATAGTACATAAATTGCACCTAGATTGAAGTTCTATTTACAGTTGTAGTTCTCTCTCTCTCTCTCTCTCTCTCTCTCTCTCTCTCTCTCTCTCTCTCTCTCTCTCTCTCTCTCTAGCACACCTGTTCTCAGATTAACTTTGAGCCTTGAAAAGCAAACATTTGTCTAAGATTTGTTAGCATTTCAATAAGAAGACTGCAACTCTGAATGTGGTGAGGGGCAAACCGGGGTTCCTCTTACACAATAGTGCAAACAATTCCATCTTCTGAGGACATTTTGCCAGCAAGATTTTATTAGCTGTGGCACATTAATGCTCTTAAAACCGTTTCAGCCAGATTGATATTTACCTATTGAAATTCTTTAATAAACCTTTTAGTCTAATAAATATTCCTTTTGAATAGATGAGTAGAAGCGGAATAATCTCCCTTTTCTTCTCCTGTTGATTGACATAGAAGAAAAACCCATACTTTCCAAGTGCCTTGTTTTGAAGAGGCTTAAAACTCCTGCACAGATAGAGCACATGGCTGGCTAATAGGGAACTGGAACCTTTCATGTCTCTTTTAATTCCCTTGAGAGTTCCAATTTCTTTCTCCTTAAAAGAGTAGAAGGGAAAAAGTCACTCATCAAACTGGATTCTTAGCCTTCAAATATTCAACAACTGGTCTTTCTGATTGATTTTGTGATCCTGAAAGACATATAGAATTTCTGTAAAACATATAGAATCCCATTTTATAGATGGGGTTTAAAAGCAGACAGACTGACATGTTAAATGTCATACAGAATGAATGGCCTCCACCATACAGCATTTGAAAATGAAAACTTCCAATTTCATTTTCTTTATGTTTAGAGAGGGAAGAGTTAAAAGTCACTATGACAGGAGTGCGTGGTCTGTATGAGAGCAGTGTCTGTCCAGGGTACAGTAGGCCACTCCATTTTGATTATCAGTACTTTTACATACTTTTTAACCTCACATATTATAATATGTTGTAAGGATTGAAGGAAGACTTCTGTTTCCACCCATATGTTCAAAATATTTTTAAAAACTATTGATGTAACAAAAGGTTAATTTAATTATCTTTCTTTTATTCTTTTCTAATGTTTTAAGTTTATTCTTTTTTCCCCCTTTTTATATTATGTGACCAGTAATATACAAAACCTATAGGTATAAGAAGTGGAAAAAAATGTTTTATGGAACCAAAAATGATTTGGGAAAACATCATGTAAACACATTAAAAAGTTAAGATAACAGTTGGGATGTGATGCAGTGCCACATGGTTCAGATAATAAGTGCTACAGGAGTTTGTAAGTTGACAGATATTTCCTCTGGAAAGGAAAACTTGCAGTTGCCAGAATGAAGTGGCCCTTTGTCTCTTTGGGGGTAAAGGGATTTCGGTCATCCTGGGACATAAGGCCTATATTCAAGTCAAGCTAAGTCAGACTATGTGCTTAACAGAAAGTCAAGTCTTAGGGCAAAAGTCTACTTTGCAGAAGAGTGGAATTTTCTATTAAGGCAAATGGGCTTCAGCTAAACCTTGAGAAAAATTCACTTGAGCCTCTCACCAATACTTCTCTCTCCTAGTCTACCTCAAACTCAATTTGTCACCATAGTACTCATCCTTGACATCAAAGCTAGTCATCTGTCATCAACTGTCTCCTGTAAACAAAAGAGCGTTTTAAATAGCTTTACCTGGAATGCATGTTTCTCAGCTGGGAGCCTGCCATGCTGTTTGTGAGCACTACTC